TAAAAGCAGAGAAAAAACAGTGCCAGTTCTTTTTTCCTGTAAAGTCTATCTAAATACCAGGTTATTACCCAAATGCAGAGGTATGAGCAAAAGAGGCAAAGGAACATGGCAAGATAGCTAAGTTGCACTAAATTTTTTAATCAATAAGGCTGTCATATGCACTTTTCTCTCTTCAGTGACAGTGGAAGCAGGAAAATGTGTTCTAAAGCCATTAAAACCTCCTGAAAAGCATATCTTGATTTTGTAAGATGTATGAGATATTAAGCCTTTGCTCAATTCACTTACTTAGCAAAACTCCAAGACTAAGTCATCCTATAAAGGCTTTGCAAAGTAGTAATGTACATCTTTGAGATGTATTTATCATCTCTTCCAGAGAATGTTGTGATACTGTCATTATAAGTAACTTCATAGAATGCAAGAATAGATTATATAAATATGCACTCTTTCCCAATATTTTCCATGGTTATGTAAGTCTAAAGTAGCTAAGTTCTCTGATGACATAAATAAGAACAAAGCGTATCAGCATCACTTTACCCACTTAGAGAATTTGGGCCAGATATTTCTGAAGCAGAATCTGGCATAAGTGACTATGTAGCTTTCATGCTTTTCTTACTCTAGAACTTTTAAATATCGACATCAACGTAGTAAGACGAAAGCCTTCAGATTCTATTCATGATTTGAACCAAGAGCTCCTGCACTGTTAGGTGGTACCATGTACATGGCCCTCTTTTATGACCCAGCTCCTTGCAGCTGGAATGCTGCCCTCCCATCTGACTGTCCATACTCTTGGGAACAGAAAATACTAGAAACTACATTCAATATTTGCTTAAACTTCTTCAGGGTGACGAGATTGCTAAACATGGTCTTAGCAGCTTCTTCCTGAGAACACTCCATTATACAGTAGAATGTTCTTCAAAGATGGCAACTTATGGCATGCTGTTTCAGAGAAACGCTCTGGAAATTCATAAAAGCTATTTTCACTGTCTAAATGCAACTTTGCTATACTCTTTCAGCAAGAAACATTCTTAATATTTTGTCCTTAGGTCTAGGCTTAAGAACAGGGTTTGGAGGGCAGAGAAAATGAAGGCACAGTAGCACTAATTGCCTCTATCTTTGAGGATTTAAACATTAACTTCTGGTTAGATATTCCTGCTATTGCTGCCACCCTAAAACACAACTCTAACATAGCATCCTAACAGTAAGAAGTGCTCTTACGTCTGAGGTAAAATTTTCTGGTTACTGAACTACATGGATATAGGACACATTGGATCCTAGGAAGAAAATGCCAGCTACCCCAAATCAGGAACATCCAGCTGCAGCAATACCGGGCTATTCACACCTCCAAAGAACCAAGAGCAGAAGCAATACCTCTATGTATTACACAACAGTTCCTGGCAAGATTACTGAGCTAACAAGGGAAAGAACCACTCAGAGCCACCCCACTCCTAAAGAAAGGAAGAGCACACCAATTAAGTCTGAGGCAGGAGTGACCAGAAATTAAGGGCTTATGTTGAGTTACTGGCAATTACTGGCTTGTAATAGTAGTTGCTTGCTCTCTCTCTCTCCTTTTCAATTATGCTTCCCATATCCTAGCAGCAATTTGTTCTCTTATTCTTTCTGCACTCTACAACTAGGCCAAAAAGGTTGGATCCAGCATTTGATCATGGATGACATCATATTTTTAAACACACATGTTGACCTACCCATGGACCTGCTGTAGCCAGGTGCTCTTTGTGGAGGAAAAGCATTTCAGCAACTTCCCCGGGACCTCATATCCATTAACCACATCCCAGTACCTCAGAACTTATATTACTGCCTCAATGTTTGTGACAGACACTTGTTTCCTCAACCTGATTTCATTAGAACTACACAGTGCCACAAGTTACCAGTTTAAAAATCAGGGTATCAAACCATATAGTTGAGAATTCTCTCACCCACTAAAAGAGTGATTTGCAAAATAGTTTAAGAGGAAATAACACAAAGTGGCAGCAAGCCATCTGTTCTGACCTCTATGTTAAAGTTAACAGCTATTTTGGATTTCAACAAAAGAAGTCACCTAAAGCTATTCACATCACGGGGCTTTTTTTATTCTTCCCAGGGAATGTAAGCACTCACTATTTTTATTAAATGCAACAGGAACAACAGAAAGTGGAGATCCCTGAAGAAGAGGCAGAAAACAAAATCTGGGGCACAAACAGCACTGTGTTGCATAGCTATGCCAATCGCTTACCTCCTGGCACAAAAGTCAAGCCAGACCTTTCCCAGTTTGCCAAAACCTGCACACAAGCAAGGCAGCATCACCACACATACATGCAGTGACTGACTGCAGACTGAGGACATACTCGACCACTTAACACTTAACTGCTAGCAGCTTCCAGCACATTTGGGTCTTGAGTGTATTTCTGGGATGAATTATCAGTTAGCCTGTGAGCTCAACATTAATTCCAGGGATGGATATGCTTTTTAAAGACATAAGTTTAATATTGAGGCTGGGAAGGCAAAGGCAGTAGTATGCAATCTATTCAAAAGAAAAAAGGGAAGTGATAGTGTTTTCTACTTGTAGTTAAAAAGACCAGAAGCTTTATATGTGGCTCATTTTTCTCTTGGGAGCTTTAGCTCACTCAACAACTAACTCAAACTTTGTCCTCCTCTACACACTCCCTTTCATGAAGGGGCAGTCTCCCAAATGAAAGAGCTTAACACCAGGTTTGACCCTAGTCTGATTTAAGAATTTATCTCCAGCATCAATGAAGCTGAAGTCTCATGAGACATTGGTCTCCTGGCATCAGATGATGTCAAGTACTTGTCCCTAAGCAAACCTTGAGATTTTGACCAAAAGGCCATGCTCTAAAGTTTTGGTGCTAACCAAAGGTAACTTTTATCTCAGTCGCACGTAAACCTATTCCTTTTAATCTCCAAACCTAGAAAGAAAGGATCTTACATCCAACAAATTTGAACTGAGAATACAGTTTTCTTGGTGCTCTATCTTACCCTGTATTTCTTGCTTGTAATCCATAAGGGGCTGAAAGACATGCTGTCACTACAAAGCACCTCAGTGGAGACCTTTTCCTCAACAACTATAGATACAAACTTTTGTGTCAGAATAGTGTCCAATGAAGCAACAATGGTACCAGTGCAAGTACATTTAGCATAACTCTGATGATATCTGCAAGGCCTAAAGCCAGTCAATGTACAAACTAGATTTATGAGAGCCCAGTTATATACAACGCAGTAGTTTCCACAGCTTGGAATTTGAGTAGTCAAAAATAAAAACATCACAGATGGTACATGTTTCCCACATATCGAATCATGACACTACCTGAACCTCTGCCAAACAAAATCACCATTCTATGAAGAGCACGCAGCATCTATCATCCTCATCATTATCAGCACAACTAAAGGGCAGAAGCAACCTCTTCTGCATCTATTAGTGGGAGGAAATATTCACAGCAATATCCATACACCTTCCTCAAGAGACATCTGCATTGTTCCTGTTAACCATAAATCTGACTCCTTTATTTCAAAGGAAATATGAATTCCTGAATTAACAGGTCATCAACTCAATTCCTTTCCAAACCAGTATTAAAGCACTAATCCCAGTTCTGCCTGTGCTAAAAAGAATATTACTATAAAACAATAATATGAAGTAATAAGCCATCAAAGGCAGATAAACTAAATTATAATCAATGCTGAAATACCATCACATCATGAAGCTTATAGTCCAGAACATCATCTTAGATATGCTTATGAATAACAATCTCACTAGAACTCAGGAGTTTTTACAGATACACATAGCAGTGATTTTTAAACATTTTACAAGGTTCAGCTATTTATAGAAGCAAACATAGCTCCCATTTGCACACTTGTCAGAAGCACAACTGAACTTTCTCTGGGCTCCAGTGCTAGCTCCACCTTCTTTCCGAACCATCCAAAGCTGCTTCCTCAGATAGGTTCCTGCCTACCCCACGGCACAAATTTCAGCACACTACACTGAGTGCAGCAGCACTCTTTGGCATTTACTTTTAACAGCCAAATGAAGGAATTAGACAGTACTGAAAAAAAGAAAAGACAAGCAATCTTAGGACAGGCAAACTGTCAACTCAATTGACAGCAATCATCCTATACTATTCTGAGATGCACATGTTGAATTTCACATCCCAGCTTTTCATAACCTGTTCTTGCAATGCCTTGCTGCTCTGCTACACGGTCAACTTGGCTGTCGAGGCCTGCAGATCTGTTATAGGTTATAATGGCTCCCTTGGCAAGCCAGCGGTGTAACTTGCCACACAAGCCACTCCTCGGAGATCTCCGTGCTGTGCACTGCTGCTGTAGGTCGCGCTGTGTCATTTCGCCACTCTCCTGGTATTCCCTCTGGCCAAAAGCCACGCAAGGAGGGTTAAGTTGAGGGACGGCTGCATAGAAAACCCTGCAGCCAGAGGGAATCCCAGTTCCAATCCCAGAGCCCTAGTGCACGGTGCAGGGCAGGTGACGCGCAGCGCCCTTTCCAAGACCAGCGGCTTTCCTCGCCTGTCAGTGGGGACGAGGAGCCAGGGCACACCGGAGCGGAGCCACGGCGGGGGCGCGGACACCCACCCTGCTCGGGGCAGAGCCCGTCCTCGTTCCGCGGGGAACCTGCGCTGCCGGCGCTCGGGGCACCGCCACAGCCCCGCCGGGGAGAGGACGCCTGTGACTAAGCACACGCGGCCTCTCCTCGCCCTCCCGCTCGCCGCCTCGGCGGGGCTCTCCGCCACCGGCGCGCCCGGCCCTGGGCACCAGCGGCCGGGGAGCGGGGCCGCTCCCGGACAGGAGGCACCTGCCCTGCTCCCCCCGCGAGGCCCGGCGCCGGGCAGCAGCCCAAGCGGCAGCCGGGCCCGTGTACGGGTTTCTCTCCCGTGGCTGAGCCGCGACCCGACCCTGGGGGCCGTGCTCCGGGCACCCCACGCCGGCATCCCCACGGCCGCCCGGGCCCGCCGCCCCCCGGCAGCCCGCTGTCCTCGTACCGCTGCCATCCTTGAAATGAGGGGGTGGGACGTCTCGCAGCGATCGGGTCCATCCCCCACTCTCCGCTTCCTCCTCCTCCTCCTCCATGGGGCCGGGGCCGCCCGGGACGGCGCTGCCGCCGCAGACCTGCCTCTGCCGCCGCCGCTCCGCCGGGGTGGCCGCCGCCCGGGGAGCGCGGCGCCGGGCCGCCCTGCTCCGCGGGCTCGACACCGCCGGGCGCCCCTGCTCTTCCTCGTCGTCGTCCTCGTCCTGGGAAGAGGCGGCGGAGCGGGAGTCGGCCGAGGTGCTGTAGAAGGGGTTCCCGCTGCTGTCCTGGCCCGACTCCCCGAAGACGTCGTCGGAGATCTGCAGGCTCTCGTAGCGGGATCGGGCCGCCTCCAGCAGCGATAGCGCCTTCCTGCGCGCTGGCCCGCCGCCGCCCTCCGCCATCATCTCGGCCGCCGCCAGCAGCCGCCCGCGCTCCCCTCGGCCCGGCTCGGCCGGGTCCTGCGGCCGCAGGCAGCAGCCCAGCAGCAGGAGCGGCTCGGGCACGGCGGCGGGCAGGCAGCGAGTAGGGGAAGCCTCACCGCCGCCGCCACCGGGGCTGAGCCCTGCCTCCCGCTCCCGCCCGCACCACCCGCCCCTGTGTGTGTGCAGGGACATGGGGGGAAGGAGCCAGCTCAACATCTCCAAGTACCACATCCAGCCAATTGCCGCGGCACTCCGCGCTCGGGAGGTGGGGTTATATGGGCGCCACGGGCCGGCGCGGGCCGCCCCCCGCCCGCCCCCCGCCTGCCTCAGCTCCGCCCATTTAAAACCACAGCGCCGGCTGCCGCGGGGCCGTCGCTGCGCCCCGACGCCGGGAGGGGGTCTCTAAGCCCAGCGCCGCTCCAGCTCCCCGTGCTGGCCCCGGCCCCGGCCTTGGCCCTTGGTCCCGGCCCCCATTCCGGCCCCCGGTCCCGGCCCCCGGTCCTGGCCGGAGCTGTTCGCCGCCGCGGTGCTGAAGCGGCTCAGGACGGCGGCAGGAGCGCTGGCCTCGGTGCCTGCGGGTCCCGCCGGGCGGGGACGAGCTGAAGGACTCCCGCGGCTGCGGGGAGAAAGGCGCCGGGGTGTTAACCCGCCGGGTCCGAGCCCCGACAGCGTGCCCGGGGCCACACTGCTCCTCATGCAGGACAGCGTGAGCAGCGGGGGCTGTCATGTCGCTGCCCCAAAGCAGGACATACAGCTCCAGCGCCGGGGCAGCCCTGGAAGGAAACTGGGGAAGGTGCTGGAGCACAGGGCTGTGGGACACCTGGCACCTGGCAGGTCCTACACCCGGTCTGGGCTCCATGGAGACTTTGGGGCCTCAGGGGACATAGACATGCTCCTGCCTGTCCGGCTCTCTGCAGGCGTGGGGCTCAGTGCCTCCAGCCCGTGCTTTGATTTCTCAAGTGAGTACAGAGTGAAATAACCATATCATGGCACAAGAAAAACGATGGAAGTGAAAACACCCGTGCCCTGACCGGGTTAGTTAAACATGATTCCAAAGTATCCCTGGAGTAATCTAAGGATTTCATACAGCAGCTGACGGCCCTGGTTGTGCAGCAGTCAGAATGGTCTCTCTGATGTTACAGGAATGTTTGAAATCTCTGATCAAGTTTTATTATTTGTTATGGGGCATCCCACTGTGCTGGTTACTGTACAAACACATATTAGGATGACAGTCCTTCCCTCCCTTGTTAACAGCAATAGCAGCTACTAAGCCTGCCTGTTCACAGCACTGCTTTCAAAATAAACAGTTATTGGATTGGGGGGAGGTGTGCAGTTTATCGTTTTCAATTTTTGATGCAAACTTTCAGTGCAGGTTGGTCTGAAGATCTGATAGTGTTGCAGATTTAACAAATTTTATAACACTGAATGTTTCTGTCTTTAAAAAAAGAAGATTAATGACCTTCTGATGATTCTCAAGGACTCTAGCACAACATGGGAAAATATAAAAGCTGGACTGTTCTATTCAGATATTTTTAAATTTCAATAGCTTTATTAAAACTTTAACATTCTATATAATGTATACAGGCAGATCCAGAGAAAATAATCCATCTTCTGCATCCTTAAGTAAACAGGAAAACCTAGTGTATTTTGAGGGACGAGATTTAAGTTTCATTTCTACATTCAAAAATGTCAAAACTGTCTTACTGATTATATTAAAAAAAATCTGTAAGTTTATATACAACCTTTTTGTTTTAATTGCAAGCTCAGCTAACTTAGCTTGTGAGTTGAGCATTGCACTGTCTTCATTTCATCTCACTGGTCACCAGAAATCATAGCTCTGTAGGCCAGGCTATCCTTTTAATTGATTCATGCCACCCTGTGTCTTCAGAATATTGTGATGGGAAGGCATAATTGATATCATAAGAACCTTTCTTGCTGGTAATGATGAGTGACCAGTTTAAAGCTCATGAATCCTCTTTGCTTGGTTGGCATGTAGAAAGCCACAGACTCTACTTCACAAATGTTGTCTGTTTTATAGCTGTTCTCGTGAAACAACAACAAAAAAATATAGGTCAATTTGTTGACCTTCTCACACAATGGTTTTTAAGACTGAAAAATGCTACTTTAAATATGTTGACATGTTTTTCGTAGTAGGGACATTGAAATAAACTTTTGATTTTTTACAAGAATGGAGGTGATTCATCACATCCAGGTGATGTAGAATTCACCTCAGCACCCAGGTTCTATGGAAGTGTCCATGGATTGACACCATCCATGTCTCAAATATCTTCAAATTTTCCAATTCTTTTCTATGAAACACACCAGCTGGAAGAACTGCTCCAAAGCCCAGGACAGTAAGAGAAGGTTTTTCAGAATAGGCTCCCAGTAAAAGAATTGTTGGGAACTGTCCAGAGACTGAAGAAACCCACATAGCCCTCTCCAGCTGCTGGTTGCAGCAAAGACAATGTCTCCCAACACGTGTGAGTTTTGTGCCAAAAACAGGCTCCCATCCCAGCTGGCTGATGCACACTGCCAGAACCTTCCCACCTAATGGTCAAAACTTCAGTTTTCATTTTTTAAAGAGAGCGATGCACACAAGAGCTCTGGGAGGAGAGCACTGCATTGATGGACAGAGGCAGGACTAACCCTTTCATCTATCAATCCATCATGATGTTTTAATGATGGAGTCTGCTGCCACGCACACACATGCAGATTTTGTTGATGGAAATTTCCCCTCTTTTACCATAGTCTATACAATGACAAGTCCCTCTTCTGCCTGTCCCACAAGCAGACAAACAGCTTTAGTCTCTCCTGCCTGCATGGGAAGATAACTTTTCTCAAGCAGAAGTATAGAGGTTCCCACACAGGGCTGCATGCCTAAGGTTTTGGCTTGCCTTTTGGCCTGAGACTTAGCTTTTCATATGTACCCCTCTGACCATCCACAGAAGCTGTTGATTGGATTACTCTAATCCAAAATGAGTATTCTGGATTGTGAAAATTGCCATGTATGACATGCTAGTAGTCATTTGATCCCAAATGATTGCAGAAGCACAGAGATATGATAGATGGTTCTAAAAATGGTTACATAAATCCACTGGGTTTTTATAAACAGTCAAGTAAACCATCACCAGGGGTGGTTTGCAGTTGAAAGATCTAATTATATAAACCTAATGGAACATTATAAACATAGCTGTGTTTTCTCCTGAATCACTTAAACTTGTGTTTAGCTGCTAGAAAATACTACTGGAGTAAATGGACTTTTGTAGCCATGGCAACCTGTGGATCCACTTTTAATTTGTCTACAGAGAAAATGTTTGGTGTTATTCTCCTTGAAGTTTTCTGGTTTTTATTGCAACAGCAAAGACACCTTCTGCACACTCCTTCTGACCCTGATAATCTTCATGGTTTAGACTGTGATAGTGGGAAATCTTTCTCAGTTCTCAGTAACTTATTTTTCATAGTTAACTCTTCGAGGAAGGGTCTTGTGCCGTCTTCCACCATATTTACACTGTCAAACCCTGGCCTATATCCAACAGAATATTGACATTTCTGTCTCCTACCTAAGCTTCCTCACTTCCTATTGATTTCACAGAGTTTGTAGACCCAAGCTGTGGTGTGTGCCTGGTCCTTTTATAACACAAATACACCAAGATGGAATAATATTTAATCAGAATTACAAAATTATTATTCTAATCCCTTGTTCCGAAAGTGCAGCCTGTAATCTGAATTTCAAACTGTCTTCCATCTCAACGCCCCACTAAAAGGAGTCTGTAGAGTCAGAGTTAAGTTGCTTATCCAGGGTGAGGCCAATAGGCTTCAGTTCCCTCTTCCAATATTGCATGGCCTTGGAGGAACAGAAAAAACCTGGAGAAAAGCTTCATCAAGACTTGAAAATTATAGTGATTTGGAGCCAGTGGATTGTTTCTTCCCAAGCCCCTGAGAAGAGGGTAGGGAGGGACTGTCCCATCCCTGGCAGAGATCATGCATCAGTCTGGTTCTCAAGTACATCACCATTTGGTGTCCCTGCTTTGCAGGGAAGAAATCTGTGAACACAGCCAGTCCTGTTACAGGGCTCTGCACACCCTCCACAAAGGTTTCTGTTCCCTGTCTTGCTGCATGGCACAGGGAAAAGCAGCTCAGTAGGGATTGATCTGCCACTGTCCTGCTCTGCGTAATACATTGCCCCACACAGGCTGTTGTGGAGCTCTTTCTCATCCACCCTGCAATTCTCCTGTTGGAAGTAGAACTGATAATACATGTGGGTTGTGGTTGTTTTCTTTTAAATTCACCAAGTATTTACAGCACATGGCATGTTGAATACAATAAAAATGTTTGTCTAGTATTTCTTTTTTTTGCTTTCTGTTTTCCAACTGCTTTGTATTGTTTGAGCCCTGTATTTCTTGGATTGATGTTTAATATTTCCCAAGTATAATGTTGACCCAGAACTCAATGAATAAAGCAAGCTGCTGTTTTCATATGAGAGAAATGGAACAAATTTTTTTTTCTTATTGTATGAGAGGGAGAAATGATTTTTGACTCTTCTAATACTGGAGCTAAAGTGCACTGACAATTTAATATTTAGGAGAGAAATTTCAGTGTTTCAGTAATGACCGATTTTGATTTTCAGTTTGGAAACCAAATTTTAAGCAATGCTCAGTACATTTTAGCAAAAGCTGTATTATGAACAAGACTCACCTAAGCTCCAAAGGGAGAGATAAATGCATGGAAATCATGCATGGAAAATCAGCTGTTTAATCAATAATGTATGGAGGGCCCATAAGGTGTTCTGCAATGGTCTGCAAAAACCCCTCCTTCCTCTGTGGTGGGGGTGTGGGAGAAGCTAAATGCAGTTGGCCAGAGCAGAGCAGTGCTGTCACTCAAAAATCAGAGTGCTGTAGGGCTGCACTTGCTTTTCCATTGAAAACCATGCAGTTTTGAAATGCACTTTTGGAAAGGCTGACCCCACGCACAGTCAGGCAGAGCCTCAGGGGAGCACTGTTAAAGGCTGCAGTCCGTAAGCCAATGCTCTACAACAGCCTGTGTCCCCTGTACTGTAGATCAGGCTTAACTTTTGATCATTGTGGGAGCTAAACCTAGAAAGTCTGTGGGACTGGTAGTGTGGAACCATCTGGAGGCTCTTTGTTTAGCTAGTTAATTCTGTTAAAGCACACTACAGAATTATGGAGTTTGCAGGGCTTGATGCCCAAAGCTAGTGACAGGAACTTAGTTC